TCGCTATTTATGATATGATAAAAAATATACTTGACAGTAAGGAAAATTTTTAGAAAGCATCGTTAGTTATTTTTCACTCTAGACTACTTGTCCACGATTTTACCGTACAACCCTCGGAAATAAATGATACTAAAATATATACTCACGGCACGAATACTGATATTTTCATTCATAGTTCCGGTTTAGGGTACTTACTAAATTTGTGTGTTTTATATATGTATATAATATCTCAACAAATTTTGGTGCCTCATTAAAGTCCTCAACAGCAGACACATTTTAATATTTATTTATTGAAGCCCAAAAATTATGATTAATGCAGGGTTTCCTTTGTCTTAAATTGCATGAAAAATTTTGAAATCTAAAATTGTTTGATGGCATATCCCCTGTTTTAATAGTTATCAGATGATAAAATTTTACAGAAGATAATATCAGTAACACAAAGACGAAAGTTTTAAATTTTTTTTATTAAACAAAGGAAAGCAAATGATTAGGTTTTTTATCTTCCTGTATTGGATATCAGTTTGAGATAATGTATTTTCATCGGATAAACCATTAATTCATCGTCACAGGCAGTATGATATAACAATATTTTAATCTGATATAATGCAGAGCAGACGGGATTTCTGCGTGTCATAATAGAAACACTGCTTTCAGCTGCATATAGCATATTCGTCAAATGCAGCAAATTGTTCAGTCTGCCTGCATTTAATTTAACGAATGTGTGTAAATGCAAAGTTAACATAAAAATAAATGCATGGTCAGGATTGATGATATCTGTTTATCCGTACATGCTTAGTTCGGCTTTCAAAGAATTTATCCGACAGCAGTTTTAACTAAACACCTGTAAAAAAGTGTTTCAAGCAGGAAGTCATTGTAAGTCATACAAGTAAGACATATTTTTACATTGACAGCGAATTACTGGAGAATACAAAATTATTTCTCTGTATATGATTATTTCCCCCTCTCTCCTAAACATAAGTACATATTCATATATCCCAGTGACACGTGGATGAGCTATGTTTCCTCTCCAATCAAAAGTAAATCATTCTTCAAGGAAAAACAAGAATTTATTTACAAAAGAACAGAGAGAAATGGAAAGATAATTAAACCAATACGTCACATCATCACACACACACTCACTCAAATGATCATTAAAAATCTTATTTACAATGATAAAAATTTTACAAATGATTATCACCACCCGGGTTATCAAATAGTTCCTTTAAATCAAAAGAGGGTCGCCAATAACCCAAAAACTATATCTATACGAAATTACTCTTTTTATAGTCCCACACTATCACTTAACTTCCAGGGCTGTAATCCTGCTGCAGGGGATAAATGTCTCTAATATTTATGATTCCCGGTACATGTTCTTTGTAGACATCATCATCATCATAATCGTCTTCATAAGCATCATCGCAATCATTGACTTCATCATCATCATCATCATCATCAATGCAATGTACTAAATCAATGCATTGTGCTAAAATATTAATCTTCTTTAAGGATATCCGATCCTCAGCCAGGAAAGATAACTCTTAAAATTATTTTTTTAATTAAAAAGTCTCAACATAAAGCTTGAAATCAAAAACTTTTCATGCAACAATTTTCATTTTATGCATCTTAATATGATACAAAGTTTTAAGAAGTCTAAGAAAGGGTTATGTAAAAAACTGACAATTGTACCCTAAAAATGTCAAAAATAAAAACAGTTTTAGAGAAATAGGATTTTCTTAAATCTAGCCTTAGATACCAATGCTTTTTAGCATGATATGAAATAAGAAGTGATCTGTGATGTCTTGTAAGGATAGCACAAGCTTTTAATACTATGTATTATATAATAATTGAAGGAAAAAGAAGACCTAGAGTACCGAATAATTAAAAAAAATGCCGATTTCTTTGAATGCCTGGATACCTATATTTTTCAAACCTAAAATATATTTCTTGTTCAATTTTCAATTAGAAAACGCATAGTTGATGTTTCTATTCACTTTTCTTGAAAATATTTTGGAGATTTGATAATTTTCCCTAATATATAATATGATTAACTTTAATAATTAACTTTGAAGAAATAGTTTGGGTAAATATACATCACTGTGTGAATTCAGAGATTATTTTGTGAATATAATTACTTAATTGCTGATTTTATGAACCTTAGAATCGGACTACTTTAATCAGTAAATAATTGCTTTAAGGTTTGACGACACGTTGCTCAAATAGCTGTTTTGTATATCTTTGTATATCGTAATATACAACAAATCAATTACAGTTGTCATTGTCTTGTGATTTTTAAACTGTTTTCAAAATGTCTCAGTAGATAAAGGCACAAAAACGTGTTATATTTGCAATGCTAGTGATTTCCAGTATGGTTATATAGTAAATAACATCCTCTGGTATCTTGCACAAATGCCTGGTAAGATACCTTATTTTTGTTTTTAGGAAACTTGTAAAAGTAGCAATACTTCAATGACAAATTCTTGAAAAAAATTATATATTATTGAGGAACGTGTCGTCTAACCTTAATTAATAACCATTTAGTAATATATGAGTTCAGTATTACTTGTAAATACTAAGATATTTTCAATATCATCACACAGTTTATTAACAGTTGACAACCAAAATAGCTGAGAGTACTTCCGGTCACTTACTTCCGTTCATACATTTAAATGAAAAAGGTAATACAGCGAACAAAAAAGAAATAAAATATAGGAACAGGATGTTCTTTAAATGCGTAGAATTACTTTAACAGAGCTAAAATTCTCGACAAAGATAACCTATTCAAACACCTTTGTTAACGTCATACCTGAACACACACACACAGGGAACTCAATGATGAGTACCTGCCAAGGTTAATTTACAGAACGAATGTTAAAAGTACATTAACAAAATTTATAAATACTACAAAATATACTCTCCCCCGTCTGTTTTCGTGCAAAACGTTTACAGTAAACTTACTGCAAGTTTCAGGCATATGCTGGTGCAAAAATTAATCACATTTGTACTTTCCCATTACACTGTGTCTCTCACCCTGGACAACTGTCCCGGGAATAACCTAGTAGCTATTGCTACTTGTCATCTGAGCTCATTTGCAAAGAATTCTGGGTGCTTATGAAGAGGTATTTAAATAGTAATACTTGTACAAAATACAAGGGGTACCCAATGGGTTAAACTAGTGATTCTTACAACCAGCAGTAACGTTTAATTTGTATCAGAGATTTAGAAGCTCGGTTATTTTGTTATTTATTCAAATATTTCCATCCTTACCTTTTTCAATCATTAAATATAATTAAAAAAAAATTCCTACTTATGTCCTGAATATAATTGCAGTTATGCTTATTTGTAATCAAGACTTTCGATCGATTGATCATTTGATTAATAAATGAGTTTATAATCAACTTTTTTTTTTAATTTTAGTCTTGTATAAAAGATTTTTTTCTTGGCAATAAAGCCATCATAATTCCTAATAATAATTTTAGATGCCTAATATTAAATATCAACTTTCGCAAATCAAAGAATTTTATTTTTTTAATTGGGTTTCACTCCAGGGTTCTGTTTGTGTTTGACATCATACAAAAATGAACATTAGATGCGAAACTAACCTTTCTTTTTTTCTTATTTCCGTATGTATTTTCTTCTTCCTTTGCATAACAGCTTAGGGCAAGAAAGTGTATTTCTCAATGATTTTAGGAAAAAATTTATAACAAAATTTAGAATAGGATGATTAACTTCCGTGTTACCCAATAGAGGAAACATATACTTATTACTGCTTTAGGGATGTCATGTTTCTGTGCATTTGAACCTATCTGAAGATCCTTATACAGAAGACACTTACTGTGACTGCTATCAAAAAATGTATCTGGAGGAATGGGGATCTTAAGTATATAAAACAGCTAAACAAGGAAAAAATAGTAAAAAAAACGAAAGCATTTATAACAAGTAAGTCTCCGTCATTGCTTGCAATTAGTTTAGGGTTCCGGTACAGTTTTAATCATAGCTTATGGGGAAATTCTATGATAAGTATTTTCCGGTGATTTAGCTAAACTGTTAATTAGAAGATGGATATGCGTTTAATTTAAAACAGGAAAAAAAGATTAATTTAGGCATTCGTTTTCAGGTAAATGATTTCTACACATGTAATGATTTCTTTTTTAATTTTCATGACAGATTTTCAACAGTATTCATGTCTGCTTTCTTACTTCTTAATTTTACAAGCTAAACTTACTCTGATTAACAACTTTGTTTTTTAATGTTAAATTCATGTTCTGAACATGAAATTTTATATCTATTAACAAAAGATCTTCCCAAATCTTTTCGAAACGTGTACATTTCATACTAAAAGTAATCTTTAAGCTTCTTAAAAGCTCGATTTGTATCGATTTTTAGAGTGCCCCATAGCCAGGAATACGTTTTTCAACCTCAACATATATTAAAATATATGTGATATATTTCATACCAAGATTTCCAATAAATAAGGTGTTCCTGTTCATTTTACCTTTGAATATATATATCATATATTATATATATATATTTATCCCATGTTTACCCCTTTATCCCATGCATATGACTCATTGGATGAATTTTTCATAATCCACAGTTAAGTGCAGTTGTGACGTCACAATGGTTTTTTGCGTTAGCGTGATGAAGTAAAATAAAGTGGAGTCCTATACAAAACAGTGTAAAACATTGGTTGTGAAGTATTAAACATGGGATAAAAAGAATCTCCCATGATTTGTAGTTGGATATGACTTTTATCCAACTCGTTGTGTGTTTTTATCCCCTCGCCAAGGCTCGGGGATAAAAAACACACAACTCGTTGGATAAAAATCATATCCAACTACAAATCATGGGAGATCCTATATATATATATATATATATATATATATATATATATATATATATATATATATATATATATATATTCCAAAATATGATATGCCTTAGAAAAGAAGAGATAAGTCTTTACAGTTTTAAATAAAACAATGCAGTTTTCCTTCCAGAAAATGGATGCCACCAGGGTCCTCTGGCTTCTGCTGACATCAGTTGCTATAGGACATGAATGCTTCATGTTGAAGAATTGTTCATCGAGTGCCAAATGTATATGCTTTAAAATAAATGGATACCTGCACGCCGACTGCTCCCATATAGGACTTTCTGTAGCGCCTGAATTTCATCCAAATATTGAGAGTGTAGACTTCAAATGGAATAATTTTCTGGAATTTCCAAGCAATCTTACTGGAGGAATAAGATTTTTAAATTTAGCGCATAATTTCATTGAACAATTATCAAAAGAGTCCCTTTACAAGTTAAGAAACTTGGAAAATCTTACAATATCTAACAATGAGCTTAAAGCAATCGAAAAAGGAACATTTAAGATTGTGAGTGAACTGCACCATTTAGATCTCTCATACAATCTTGAACTGTCTTTATCAACGTTGACAAATGTATCATTTGATCTACAGTTTACAAAAATAAAGGTCCTTAACTTGGAGAAAGTGCAGTGTACATATGGTATCAGCACAGCTGTCTACATCGAACAAGTACTACATCTTTTCAATACATCTTTGGAGCAACTTAACATAGCTTCTAACAGAATAAATCATTTTGAATTTGGAGTGTTCTCATATCTTCCAAAGACCCTTCGTATATTTAATATTGCTGACAATAATTTGAGTTTTGGTGCATATCTGTTGAATTTTGGACAGCTTTCTAACGTTGTGATGGTAAATGCGAGTTATCAGTCTAGTTTTCACGCAATTGATCCTGCTGATTTTAATTTCCGTTGCAAAGAGAGGCATGAAAACGATAATCTGGAATCTTCTATTGGCCTCCATCATTACTTACGTTCAAATGGTTCCCGCTCGAAGTTACATACGAAAAACGCTTATCTTGAATTTGAATATCATGTCTTCCAACACAATGCTTTAAATTTTGCCTCAGGTCGATCATTCAATGGAGAAAAAGTTGGAAGAAAACCAAATACCACACTTTATCTTCCACCAAATCTCCAGACAGTCTACTTTCATGATAATATGTACAAATACGCTTTTTGGACATTATTTCTGAATGTATCTGACACACTCACACATGTGCATTTTCAGAATAGCATAATTTACAGATTTGAGGGACCTGTATACGGAGTGAGAAGTGTCCAATACCTAGACCTATCAAACAATTTTTGCAGGAGAGTCTCTGATGACTTTTTTATTGATTTTCTAGATATTCGAGTTCTTAATTTGTCAAATAATTTACTTGGGGAATCATTAAAACAAGACGAAGGAGGAAGAATTTTAAGACACCAGAAAACTTTACAGATCCTTGACTTAGCAAATAATAAAATTGTTGTACTTCCCCAGAATATATTTCGAGGCTTGTCCGATGCCACCCATTTAAACCTTAGTTCAAATTCACTTGCAATCTTCAGGGTGAATTTATCTCACTTGTCAAAGCTGAAATGGATAGACTTATCTTCTAATCAGCTAATCAGTCTCAATAAAGAAATACGGACAACTTTGCATATATTTTCAGAAGCACGAAAACTTGCTTTGAATTTACGAAACAATCCATTGCAATGTTCCTGTTCGAATATAAAATTTCTGACTTGGATTGGTAAATCGAGGAAAATAGAATTCTTGAATATGAATAACTATACTTGTTTGTTTCAGAATTCAAGCCAAAAAACATTCAATAAGTTTAGAAGATTGCTGAAAGAAATGGAGAAAGAATGTGCTTCCTTTACATTGGTTATAGCTATCACATCAGCCTTGCTTTTAGTTGTAGTTACAGTCATCATGAGTAAAATTGTTCATAGATACAGATGGAGGATACGCTATTTATACTATGTCGCAAGGCGTGACAAAGGAAACCCAGAAAACAAAAAGAAGAATATAAGTTATCACTTCGATGCGTTTGTTTCCTATGCCGAAGAGGACAGAGAATTTGTAATTACTCTTGTGAAGTTCCTGGAAGAAAATTTCAATCTTCGATTGTGTATTCACCAGAGAGATTTTATACCAGGAACAAGTATTATTGATAATATCACAAACGCTATTCATAACAGTAGGAGAACAGTCTGCTTCCTGACGTCACATTTTCTTAGATCCTATTGGTGTGAGGTAGAAATGAATATGGCACGAATAGAATCCGTTTATTCTAGAGAAAGATCAAACGTTCTTTTGTTCATTATTCCACAAAAGAGTGTCTTCAAGGAATTACCTTTGAAGTGGATAGACCTTATCGAGAACAAGTCATACATGGAAATTTGCATTGAGGACCAAAGAGAATTATCAGCTTTTAGAGTTAAATTAGCGGAAACTCTTAAAGAAGAGGAATTTTAACATTTCTTTATAATCCAGCATGTTCCTTGAAATGGAATATGATGATTACGAACAATAATCAAATTCAAACGTCCATTGGAACAATACAAAATGGAAGCATGGAAGCAGAGCAGAGCAGACAAAAATCAGAGGTAGGATCAGGTGCCATGGAATGGTAAGCATCCCCCGTCGACCTGTCACATCCGCCGTGTGCTCCCTGTTATGATTGTGTAAACTGTTGATATCCTTGTATCATCCACTTATTTGTCCATACCGTGGTTCGATTTGGAAATTGTTTGTACGTACAAAATGTTCTTGCGTATAGAATCAACTGTGAGACATAAACTCCATTTGCTGGTGATGATATATATTGCTACATAAATAAAGGAACTTGACGATAGAAAAATTGAAGTCATCACGTTAATCTTTAGTTCTTGTATTAGATTGCCATTAATGTCTTTTTAAAGTAAAACTAAGAGCACGGTTTACACACTTTATTTGCAGCCAATTAGTATTTCTTTGATACGTCTTAAATTAGGAGATGTATCAATGACAAATTCTACTAAAAACAAAATTTTTTAATATCTCAAAGTTGTTTGAGAGTAAAGTCCTTCAGCAGTACTTTATTTCAGTATTTGGATGTAAAATTTACGATTGAAAATATAAACATAAGAAATGTTTTTCATTGAAAAATTAGGGGGTATTTGCTAGAGGGTATTGAGCGCGCTATTTGCATGAATCCACTAAAATTTGGAAATAATAACAATATGTATTTTCTGATAAATATGCAAAGACTTGGCAATTTTCCAATGATTTTTAAAAATTATAAGTTATATAATTTAGATGAAACATGCTTCACGTAGCATGTCAAATTTTCATAAGTTAACATTACATATATATTTTTGTGAAATTATAAATTTTACTGTTATAGAGCATAAAGCTACATATTTCACCTGTTGCTACAATATTTATCAACCTCATTTGACCAAAAAAAAAATTGATTGGAGGGATTATGACTGTTTTATCGCTAGTTGTAGCTGATTAATGCGTAAAAAACAAAGTCAAAAATGGCAACGTCATTAAACGTCTTGGAGCACCGAGCGATTAAAAAAATTATGTATGCAGACAGGAACAAAAGAGATTATATTGATTTAGATGCTGCTGGGGATAACCACCACGTATCAAAGACCACTGTGCGAATGGAAATAGCTTTCTTAGAATGGAAGGATAGACACTTTTGATGATCAACTCCTGCAATACCTTAATGCTCCGCTTATCGCAAGGACTTCATTTACACTTGTGAATTTTGCACTGTTTCCATACCTGATTGCTTAACTGCATAGAAATTGATTTTTCAGATCGCACTAATATCTGATACGTATATGTCACAAAAGACATTTAATGAAATAAAGTAACGTGTCTTTCTATAGTCATTCAATTTTATAGTAGGAAAAAATGAAAAGTCTAGGTTGATTGACTGATTGTTGTTTAATTTTGAATTTTTCACTCATATGGAGACGCCACCACTTGCCGGTGGAGGGCTACAAATTCTGGCCTATACTCGGCACTTACGGCCATTGAGCAGTGAGGGATCTTTTTCGTGCCAGCACCTACTGCGACACGGGACCTCGGTTTATACGGTCTCATCCGAAGGACTGGTCTCCACGTCCCACAGTGGGATTCGAACCAGCGACGTAAGGATCAACTCCTTACTCCGCGACTCTAGAACAGACGCTCTAACCACTGCGCCACGCGGGCGATTGAAAAAGTTTAGAAGTGAAAGATATTTAAAACTGTGAAAAAGCTCAAAACAGGTTGTCACGTCACCTAACGACAAACGATTGCTCCGTGAATCTTATGATTCCACAATGAAAAATCATTGTACATTTTCAAAATTTGACCTGATTTTTTAATAAACAAAAGATAATTATTAAATCAGACATAAGTCATTCATAAAAATACACAATAAATTTTCTATAAATCAAAGTGTCCGCGAGTTTTTCTAACAACCCTCGTAACATAAAAAAAAATACAGGTTTATTTCTATTTCTTTAATTTTTTTTTTGTAAAAAGAAAGCATCTATACCAACTTTTTCCGAAAATTATATATCCTAGAGCTAGATATAACACAGTTAACATTTAGAGAATAATCGCAATCGTTATAATAACATGCAGATTTCAATAAATATATCTTTACATTGCTGTAAAACAATATAAACAATGATGCTTATCAATCAATATGATATTATTTATCTTATCTGGAGACCTCAGCTGTAGAAACAACATTTTGGTGTGTAATTCTTCATTTTGACATTTCCCTACTTTGTCTCAAGGTAATTATGAATGTTTTCAGTTTATATTCGAAGACATTTAGACTGGTCTTGCTTTGAATTTATTATTTTTACTTACGCTGTGTATTGTAAATCGATGCTCTGATCTCTCTTTTTATCTGACTATTGCTGATGTGTTTATTTCTGAATTTGTGTAAAATAAGGTCACCAGAATTGAGAGATGCATCAATTTAAACAACTCTGAAAATTTTCGTGTTACTAGAGCCCTTCAGAAAATTATTGAGACATTTACTTTATATCATTTAAAGGTGCTTAAACACAGATTTGAGGTTAATATTTTCTCAAAATTTCACGACTTATATATTGCAATAGCATTTCACACAAAAATATAATTAAAAACTTATTTTATCTGGAAACTATTGGAACTACGAATTCCAGGACGCGTTTGATTAACACATCCTTGCACTTTCACAAATTTTATTTTTATCCTTAATATTTAAGAAAAGAAGCGATTTTGTTTTGTATTAATGAAAAACATTACATCTATAATCCAGAAAATTCAGAGTAGAAATGTGCGAAAGCAAACCCCCTCACTAATATCGTCGGCCCGTGCTCAGTGTTGTGTACAGAGTTTAACAAATTGAATACACCCGTGAAACGTAAACTGTTTCTGTAAACAGGGCACGAGCTATGTTATTGTTAATGTTTACGATTCACCGGGTGAGTTCAATTGTTAAAGTCTGCACACACCACTGAGCACGGACTGACAATACTGTGAGTGGGTTTTGCTTTCGAACATTTCTACTCTGAATTTTCTGGATTATAGTTTTAATACTTTTCATTTATACACAACAAAACTGCCACTTTTCTTAAGTATTAAGAATAAAATTAAAAATTGTGAAAGTGCAAGGATGTGTCAATCAAACGCGTCCAGAAATTTGAAGTTTCAATAACTTCGAAATGAAATAAGATTTTTATTGTATTTTAGTATGAAATGCTATAGCAACATATAAGTCATGAAATTATACAGAAAATCTGAGAAAATATTAACTTCAAATCTGTGTCCAAGCACCTTTAATTATTAAAAATTCGCCATTTTATGAAGAACCAATAAAACTTATGTGAAATTAACTATCTGACTAACTAACTAATTAACTATTTAGTTAATAGCATCATTAGTATGAACTTTCACTTATCCGTTGACCTGGAGTAACCTTCAGTATTTGCTTCCTCATTCTGACATAATTTTCATACATTGAAATGATTAATTGGGACACGTTAAGTCTTATTTTTGTCATCACTTAATAATATTCTACAAATTAAGTGATGTCTCCTTTTTAAAAACTCGTCTTTAAGAATGTGTGTCCTTTTGTTATCCCAATGTCAAACTGACAAATATTATCAAACTATTATAATTTCATTTGCGATGAAATGCATTTTACAGTTAACTAGCATCTTTCTGCACTGACTTACGCACGGCTGACGTTATTTATTTGTTTGTTCTTCCAGAGTATAATTAACGAATACTGTACGTTTTGAATATAGAGCAGCTTACTAGGTCTCAAAGCAGTTTGCTAATATTTTTTGTTCTACTTTCCTTAGAATAAGTTAATATCAGGCTATGCATTCTAAGTATAAACATATACATGTATATTGAAATTTGAAACCATGGATAGAAAAACTATTATTATTATTTTAAAATACAGTTGTATATATAAATGATGAATCGATTCCATCACTTTTTGTATCAAAGACCAAAAATTTTATTTAAGTCACAATTATCATCGTTTAAATATTCGTCAGTAAAGAAGGAAGATTCGCTATTTCTACTACGTGATGAAGGAGGCCGAACTGCATGACAAAAATCCCCTATCACTTTTATGCATTTGCTTCCTATATATGCCAATGAGATCGAAATTTCAGTCTTTCATTATATATGTGTTCCTAAGATGAATTTATTATAGGTACTGTTTGAGTATTGTTGATAATATCACAAATGCCATTCATAACAGTATAAGAACAGTTTGCTTTCTGACGTCACATTATCTTAGATCCTATTTGTGTGTCGTAGAAATGAATAAGGCACGAACAGAATCCGTTTATTCCAGAGAAAGATCAAACGTTCTCTTGTTCATTATTCCACAGAGGAGTGTCATCAAGCAGTTACCTTAGAAGTAAATGGGACTTTTCGAAAACAAGTTTAACATGGAATTTTTTGTTGAGGAAAAAGTGAGAGTTCTCAGATTTTAGAGTTAAACTCCAAGAAACTTTAAAAGCACACGAATTTTAACAATTATTTTCAAAAAATGGAATGTTGAGTAGTACATGTTATTAAAGGTGTTCCCTTGGAGTAAAAAAAGGCCACAATCATTATAAAATATTCACATCTGACTGCTGATCCGGTGATACATTTTATATTTGCTAGAGCAACTATGTGTATATTTCAGTTCCTGCTATGAGGTCACTTCCTCCTCAGATCTCATATACATTTAATATTGTAGATGAAGGTTAAGAATTTTCGTGTTTAGTCCTTTTATGCTCTTGATGAATAACAATCTGGTTTTCTATTGTGTCGATTGCATGGTTTTGTTGACCACTAAGCCATGCAATCTTTTTCAGGCATCTGTTTTCCCCTCCATCTGTCTATGTGGTAGTTTTCACTCTTTCACCCTGAAAGGTTTTTTTTTACTCTTATTTCAAATCTCATCAACCAAATCTTAATCAAAATAGTTATCTGAGCAAAACACTCATATTTATATGTAATGGTACTCGAATTTGAAATCGTT